TGTCTTTACGTCATAAATTTCACATTGCAGCTTTTCTCAATTCTTTTGTCCATATAATTAGTGCTTGTATTTGTAGTTATTTTTCTTGTTTTACATATACTTTTTTCTCATTTTTTATTTTTTCAATCTGCATTTTTACTGAAAGTGCACGATCTTTTATGGCGCTTTGCTTATAAAGTCCAGCAATCTTGATGCATTTCTGTGACTTTTCCCTTTGACCATGTTATTCACTAAACATTTATGTGTTGGAATGTTAGTAGGACTTGCTATATCTAGGAAGTCACCGGTCCTTGAAATAAATTTTCTAAGTCAATAATGCTGTTATTGCATGCTTTATCAAAAAAAAAAAAAACGGTTATTGCATGTTAACCAAACACAGGTCAATCTGTTTGTTTTCTATGGTCTTCTCATTGATGAGATTTAAGGTCTCATCATTCAATTCTCTATGTGTAAATGCGCCCTGTCATTGTGAATGTTGGGAAGATAAAGGGATAACAAAATGTAGGAAGCGGTACCTAAAGAAGTAAAAAAGATCCCTTTTCAAAAAGTCTAGTCCCTGCGTGTGATATAATTGGGACATTTTCTCTTAGAAAATGGTATAGGGAAACCATCTGATCTTCCTGGGGAATGGTAATCTACTATACATATGCTCTTCTTTTATAAGCATTTTTTTTTCCTGAACTGTTCTTTTTGATATTTGTTTTTCAGGTTTTTCAAACAACTGCTGTTGGCCTTGGGCAATCAACCTGTGTAGGGATTGGTGGGGATCCTTTCAATGGTACAAACTTTGTTGATTGCTTAGAGAAATTTGTTGCTGATCCACAGACAGAAGGTAAACCTTATTGAAGGATTAATTAATCTAAGTTTATTATAGATGATGGCCAGGATGACATGTTTTTCTTCTGTGTGGTAGTGTTATATGCATATCTTAGCAGAGAGTAGATGTCAAAATAAGATAGTTACTAATATTTTCCAGAATTACCAGATTTCTTAATTAAACTTAACATCTGTTACAACCAGAGTGCAATAGTGTACGGTAAGCAACAAGAATTTGTGGGGCAAATTTGCTAAAGGGCTTTTATGGGAAGAAGAAAATTTTCTTACTATTTACCTTGGCGACCATCCACCAATCGCCCAACCCAGGGAAAGAACTTTTGTAGTCCCTTATCACATTTATTTTCTCTAGAAATGGTACTTTTTCTCCATAATGTTGTTAGACCTTAGGATTACTTTTCATTTACTTTACTATCTTTTCTTAATTAAAATTTGGTGGGTTGCGAATGTGTTTTACTTTTCCCAGACTTCTCTGCTGCCTTTAACCTATTGTTCCATTTATAAGGAACTGACAATGACTCACTTATCAAAAAAGACAAAATATGGAACTGAGAATTAGATGATAAACAGAAGTTAGAAGATCTATGCATTATACTGAAGGGAGATTAGGATCATTCAATCTAATTATACGTGCCCGTTGTATGACAGGTATTGTTCTTATTGGTGAGATTGGTGGCACAGCAGAAGAAGATGCTGCAGCCTTTATAAAGGTTCGTGATGATTGAAATATTTATGTCAGAGTAAAGTATCCCAATGTCAGGATTATACTGTTGTATATGCTGGCTCATTCAGCATTTTATGGAATAAATCATATGCTCTTTCATGGTAGTCCTTCTGTGGTGATGTGAATTTCTGTCCACCTTGGTTTTGGAAAGTTATTTATTATAGAATCCTAGCCATATTTATGAGTGCCAAGCTGTTACTGCCATACTGTCAAGAGTAACAGTTTTCTTACGGTAAGTACCAAGGATTTCCTTCAAATCCAGCACTATAAAATTTTAATGAGATGTATTTGGTATTAAGGAACTATATCATTCAAGGTATGCAGTATAGTGTTTATACTGCATCTCCACTGAAGTTCGCTGAAATAATTTTTAGTGATGATTGATTCATCAACATTTCAGAATTTTGTCAGAATTAGGTAGTATATGTAAATGCGGTTTTTTTTTCTTCAGAAATATTTCTATACCACTTAAGTCTCAGGGATAGTAGGAGTAAACTATATCACTCATATCCAAGCTATTCAATCTCTAGATTTTATTTCAAACGAAGAGACATCTTAAGAAAAAATACCGGAAATCATATCCATGTTGAGGGTGCACCCCGCATGGTAACATTCAGTGTTACGGTCAGACCTCTCTATAACAACATCCCTATATAACAACACTTCACTATAAAAGCCAAGATTTTTTGGAACCAATTTCCATGTTAATTTATAATATATGTTCTCTATAACAACTTTTCTTTATAACATCCAAAAATATTCGGAACAAACGAGGCTGTTATAGAGAGGTTTGACTGTATAAGAAACTAGACAAGATGGCATTTGTTCCAATAGGTACAAAATTCCTTCCGGCAGAGGATGTTCTTGCCTTACCAGCTGTCAAGGTAAAAGAAGTAAACGAACTCTACCTCTTGATCATGCTTCTTGATCTCTTGTCTTAGTCCGACAACCATATCAGAGATGTAACACCTTGCCATACACCAATAGTACACACTTCTTTCTATTATCTTTTCAACTGTGGTTTAAATAAAAGTATCCCCTCGTTTTAGGTGTCCCTTACACAACTTGGAATTTCTTACCAGTGAATTCATTTCTCTTGTGACTGAAGATTTGCTGTCTCACTTCCAATTGGAATCTCCACGTTCCTATCTGCTTCCTTTTTATTGTGCTTTTTGAAAGGCCTAAAGTACCTCCAGAGTTGGAATTCTTAATTTCCACACCATTATGTTTTTGGATTCAACCTGTGCAAAGAGAACATTCTTAAGACCAGATGTATTTGTGCCTTCTTTGACTGGCTCTTTTGTTGAATAATTTTTCTTGATTCATCATTTTGATTTCCTTTCCATGTATAAGCGTGTGGTTATATCCTCTACACCCATAATTTGCCCTAGATTGTCTAACAGAGATCAAACCAATAATTTTAAGCTTTTGATCCTGCATCTGTATGCGCTGCTCTATCATTCCTTGTATTAGAATTACGAGAAAGTTAACGATGTGGCTGCTGGAGCATTAGGAGAAGATACTCTTTAGCTTCTCATATTTTTGAGAGGATGTTCAGAATCTTTGGCTAATTATTATGCTAGAATGTCTTAACATCCAGTTCTTGCCATGTCTCTGAGTTTAATAGCATTTTAAGCTGCGCTGAATAATATTTGATTCATATGATTTGTGAGGTTTTATGTATTTTGCTCCTGAAACAGGAAAGTGGAACTCAAAAGCCTGTAGTTGCTTTTATTGCTGGATTGACAGCTCCTCCTGGACGGCGAATGGGTCATGCTGGAGGTACTGTGTTGGCCAACAACTTGCATGCATTAAATATTTTGACTCTGTAACCTTCGATATTGATACTTAAATTGATCTGGGAACTAATTATATTTGATTTTGGTTACATACAAAACAGTGTTATGGGAGAATTCCTCATTGGTCAAAATCGTATAATGGGTTGATTCTGTATTAATTCTGAACTGTGCCTTCCATTCCCATGCACCCTTAAACCAAAAAATAATGGGAAAAAATAAAAAAATAGATCCAAACTGTTTGTTATCGATACTCGTGAGAACAATCTGCTGGTTATTGATATCCGGAAGTACTAGGGATACTATTGCCCATCCTGGCCCTGTTCTCTTTTTCTCTGTCCATTCAAGCTAGTCTTTTTCCTCTCTTTTCTTGAAATTTAGTAGGAACGGGTACGGCAGCTTTTCTGCTGTGTTATTCTGTTTTATTGTGAGTTCGCTTTGCTGCATTATCATGATGATGAATGAAATTGCATGAGCTATAAAAAGATGTCTTGTATTTCCTGCTGTCATGCCTAGAGTAATTGTTTAATTCTGATCTTTCTGGAAGTGCAGCTATTGTATCTGGGGGAAAGGGAACAGCCCAAGACAAAATCAAGGCACTAAAGGAAGCTGGTGTTACAGTGTGTGAATCTCCTGCAAAAATTGGAGCCTCAATGCTCGATGTGTTCAAACAGAGGGGTCTTGTGTAGGCCTGTGGCATGGCATTTTCATTTGGTAACTTTTTTGTTTGCTTGTTCGTGGACATGCTAAATGATGTCCGGTTATCCACCATTACCCATGGAAGATAATAACAGAGAATTCGATGGATATACTTGTTTATCCAGGAACCGAGAAGAAACTGCGGAAGGGTTTATAATGTTGACATTTCAGAATTTTCACTGTTATTCTAATTTTCATGTTATGGCAGGATGTTGCAGTAATGCAATTTATTTTTGACAGCATGTTTTAGGACCAAAGCAAACTCACAATCCAAAGCTGTGTTATTTCCTAACCTTGCTCCTTTTGTATTGCTGTAGCAATTGTTTTTTGTGTGTAAACCAAATGGCTAATAATCTGCCCGTCTGTGGGATCCTTTCATTTTCCCATTAATTGTCACATTTCTAGTATTATATTACGTGCGTAGTAGGTTTTTTTCCAAGGGAAGTGTTGGGAGTATTGGTTATCAACATTCGGGGTTGGTTACAACGTTAAACAATTACATTCGATGAAAGACAAAGCTATTCGTATTTGAAGAAGTGTAATAGCGCCATTGACCTTGTTAGTATGGAGCTTCCCTGCAAAAGGAAGTCATTCCATTTACTTCATCGTCTAGAGTGCTACAATAATCTCGTGTAAAGAAGATGAACGAAATCAAAGGATTCATGATTAACATTTCTTTTCCCCTTGAGCAAAGAACGTATAAATGCTAGTATTTCCTTTTGTTTGACCATTTGTATGAGTTAAACACTAATTAGCTATTCATTAGTGACTACTGCAAAGCAAACTTTACTCGTACATTGAACTGTTTCTGATACACCTTCGCCTCAAGAACCAATTATTGAGTACTACTCAAACACATTAAGTCAAACACATCAATTTTCTAAAATAATAACTTCAGTTCGATGGATGATTAGAAGACATGAAATTACCATGATTTCGAGTCACAAAAACAATATTTAAAATCCTAGGGCTAAGGTCCTACCAGTGTCTCAACTAGTTGGTGAGTGGTGACAATCACAAGGTCCAAAATTTACTCCTACTGTTGTGATAGAAAACGACAAGTAACAGGTGGAAGGTCCTGGAAAGTGAAAACTTAGGTGCCTGTTTATAAACAGATCATAAGATCAGCCCCACAATATCTATTCTTCATCTTTATCCATGGCTTCCTCATCATACAGGAAATATGAAACCCGAAAGCGAAATCCAGACCCGAAATCTGCGGTTCTTTTAGTGATAGATATGCAGAACTACTTCTACTCCATGGCCAAGCCTATTCTCCCCGCTATCAACACTACCATCGACCTCTGCCGACAGGCTTCCGTGCCTGTGATATTCACGCGCCACCGTCACAAGTCACCGGATGACTACGGCATGCTCTACGAGTGGTGGAACGGAGACATCATTAAAGACGGCACCGTTGAGGCTGAACTCATACCGGAGTTGGACCGAAGAGAAAGCGACTTGGTGGTGGAAAAACACACTTACAGTGCCTTCATAGGTAATTTCCCCGTTTCAATTTATGTCATGATATTTGATCGGGTAAGGAATGGTCTAAAACAAGCCACGTATATTTGTGTAACTATAGATTGTGAGTAAAATGAACTGTTTAAAATTAAATTAATTTTAGATATAAAATATACTCTCTCTTTTTGGAACAATACGATTCAGAGTGTTCTGTGGATATTTTTTTTGGGGGCTCCGAGGTTCCTTTTTGTTCAATTTAACCATTTGTTACGAGTGATGAACCGAAATGAAATTATAAATTTACTGTCTTTATTATGGCTATTATTAAAGTATGGAATCACTGTAATTAAATTATATGACACGGACAAAAATTAATCTAATGGATTCGTGTTGAGCAATCATACACTGTTTTCCTATCAGCTAATTAACAGTCAATTCTGCTTTATATATATTTTCAATGTAATATTTGCGTACTTTGCTGGTGGGATACAACATGTCTCCAGTGAAATAACATCATTCTTATATATTAAAAAGAACACGAAACATGCAAGATTGGGGCTGCTTCAAGTGGCGCGGCCACTTCACCCCACTCCCTACACCCCCCCGGGCAAAAAAAACAGGAAGTTAATATGAAGAACAAGCCCCCGGGATCGGTCTCGTTGTAAGAGCGCAACACGTTCAAACCTTGTCGAAGACGCATGGAATTTAAGTGAAGAAAGGTAGAGGAGTAGGCTCGTTATCCACCTAATTTCGAACCAATCCTAGTAGATTTCTTGGTTATAAGAAAATTTAATGTCAAGAACGGATCCTTAAGAATCTTTTCATTTTTTTTCCTGAAACTGTAGTAATGCTACTAATTACTATTGACAAACATTTTCAGATACAAACCTAGAGGAGAAACTGTTGGAGATGGGGAAAAAGGAGGTAATAGTGAGTGGAGTAATGACCAACCTGTGTTGTGAGACAACAGCCAGAGAGGCATTTGTTAGAGGATTCAGAGTCTTCTTTTCGACAGATGCTACTGCTACTTCCTCAGCAGAATTGCATGATGCTACACTGAAGAACTTAGCATATGGTTTCACTTATTTGGTTGACTGCAAAAGGATTCAATCTGCGTTTTCAAATTCCTGAGCACTCAGGTATCAAATAGCTATTAGAAAATTTTGTGAATTAGCACAGCGGCAAGATTTCTGGGAAGTTGCGAAAAAAAGAAAAAAGAAAAAAAAGAGATCGTGAATAACTATAGCCATTGGTTTACTCTCTCTTTAAGACTTTACTTGTTTACCATAGTTATTGAGTTATAGATTAGTTGCTGACTAGTAATGTTATTGATGAGATCCTAATGGCCAGAGGCGAATTCAGAATTTCTAGCGGATGGGTGCACTGTTGTGAAGAGGTGAATCTAGAATTTATATTTGACTGGTTTAACTTTAGTCTCCTATTATGACCCACTACACTTTTAAAATTATAGGTTCAATATTATATTGTTTATAAAATTTTAGTAATTTTCACATATATATCTATACTCAATGCTGAAAATGAGAGAATTGTCAATTTCACTTGTAGAGGTGCACGCAATAATAATTGCACCATAATAGTCTTTGAGCACGGGTTCATGCACATATATTTAAGTAATTTTAAATCTAATTTGGAAGATATCTTCAAAGTATGTTAGATACCTTTCAAATTAGGGGTATGTGTTCACGTGAACCCATAGCCCTTAACTTCGTGAACCCATAGCCCTCAAATTGGATACGCCTCTTCTAATGGCGTGCTGTTTGCAGGTAATATCGTAACTAAAGATACTAGCGGGAGAGGAACCGTGGAGAAGCACTTTAACGTGTAAAGATTTTGGAATAAGTAGATGTAAGACAGAATAAATACATGACAAGTTTATCCCGTCCGTCCACAGGTGGCAAACAAGTTGTTTGGGCTAAAGTTGGGCGGATCAAGTTGGACCGAGTAAATATATAGGCTAATGCCCAATCATGCCCAAAATTCATTTGGGTCAAGATGAGCTAAACAATAGGTCGTAACCCAATCCGCCCAATTTGACCCAAGTCTTCATAATATTCTCAACTTTTAAAGAAGGAGAAATTTCATAACTACCTATGAAATTATAAATTATTGTACCATCTACAACCACTAAAGGAATTACGTATTCTACAATATAGATGTTCCCATTATATAGATTACACACAGTAATATGAATATCAGATTAAATAAATTGTCCCATAAGGAAACTAACTATCAATGATGTATAATAAAATCAATTTATTCCTAAAAGATCTCTATTTTGTTATACAGTAGTTAACCACCATCTGCAGGTTTCTTAAGGGTCCATCTTCCACATAAACCAATATTCACTTTCATCACCACGCTACATCATTTAATAAAATAGGTATTCACAGTATTTTTCATTCTTTCAATTTTTGAATTTTTTTCAGTTATAGTATCCTCTTTTTTTGTGTGTGTGTTTGGTGCTCTAAGAAACGATGACGAGTATGCCAACATTGATTTAATGCAATAAAGTGTGGCAAAACGATCACATATTTGTACATAATATCACATATATAAATTTATATTTCAATTTTAATGATATATACCATTAACATACTGTTTACTCGAAAAACGGATAAAGTTGAATTTGTACGTAGTTCTAAGGGTACATGGTATATCTTGATACAAATCGTATAAGCGAAAATATCGAGCATTGACTGTCAAGAATGAAAATACTAACGAGGTTTAAGGGAGGATGATTTATGAATAAGCCAGATGAAAATAATGTATAAAGCTCAAAATGATAATCTCTCAATATGGAGTATATGCACAGTATCTGAGTTATGGTGTTTTTAATGCCTCAATCGTTCCCCCATACAGAGATAATAACCATCCCTCTTATAGTGGGGGATCCTATTTTAGATATAATTAAAAATACATAGTGGGGAACCATGAAAAATCAACTTTTCCCTTTTTCCTGTTGAGATTTTCTCCCTAAATGCGGCTGTAACGACTCTTGTCTATAGGCTCGAGCTCGATTTTGACTCGGGGCCTGGTATTGATTCGGGCTCAGCATTGGTCGGTCTTTGGCTCTCAAGCTCGATAACGTTGCTTCGCATCATAGTTCGATTTGGATTCGAGCTCGATAATGACTTCGAGCTCGGTATTGATCGGTCCCTGAAACTCGAAGCTCGGTGACCCGACTTCGGATCTTATTCCGAAATTATGAAGACGCTCTTCGGCGCTTTTCGGTCCATTATGTTCCCATCTCGACCAGTCGTACGAATACCGAAATTGATTTCAACCGTATACAGATAGTCCCCTCGTTTCTCGGGAAGGATGTGGCGAGAAACGATATAATTTCCCAATGGCTTGATCAGATATACACTGACGTTAGCATCGAGCCCGACCATGACGTACGTGATAGCTGTCCCGTCGGTTCAGTTTACCAAGACATAAATGCGTGTCAGACGGTGGTTGGCCACTGCTGATATTGAATCGTCATTCCCCAATCTATAAATAGCTTCTCTTTTTACCATTTATCACTTTTACATCTCCAATTTTCAAATTTTCTAAGCTCTTTCTCGCATCTTCTGAGTTTATCTGCAAGCCTGTGATTTTTATTGCAAAATCTTCCTTCTGTGATTTTCACTGCAAAACCTTTCTTCAAAACACCACATCTTTGTCATCTCCTTCTACTCTTGATCTTCAAAACCAAAATGGTGAAAACATCAAAAACCGTTCCTCAAAAAGAAAAAGCTTCTTCTTCATAGCCTGCCGCCGACAAAATACCGGTGGATCTACGGCCTGAGGAGTGTGTTCCCGGGGCGTGTGTTATTACCTCCAATTTTAAGGTCGATAAAGACTCGTCGGTTCTCGGCCGATGCGAGCCAGTATCGAGGTATATGTGTTCGATAACCGAGGGGTATCTCGAACAGATAAGGAAAGATTGCAACTGGGAGAACAAAGAAGTGGTAATCCCGTCTCCCGAAGAGGATATTGCTATTCATGTGAAAGGGTTTTTAGGTGTGTATACTTACCCTTTCACGTTAGGTCCTCTCGACCCTGTTATCATTGATTTTTGCCGTCAATACCAAATAACCCTAGTCCAGATCCATCATTCTTCTTGGCGGATCGTTATTTTGATCCGTTTCTTTGTGAACAAAATCGAGGGGATGACTTTCACCCTCGACCACCTCATTCGATTGTACAGTCCCCGCCACTTTCGAGGCGGGTTAATAAAACTTCAGCGCCGGGCCACTAAGGTTCTGTTCTCGAGTATAGACTAGGACAAGGATCGAGGATGGATGGGTAGGTTTGTTCGAGTGAAGACTTCGGACCTAATACCTGCCGAGAAGATGCCATTTTTCGAGGAGTGGAACATGAAGCGTAAGTGTAACTTTGCTGTTATCTCCTATTGTTTTGCCCCTTCGTTTCTTTCTCACCGATATCCCCTTTTGTGATGCAGCAGTTCCTTGGATGCCCGGTGCAGTTCATGACCTCAAGAACTGGGTACAGGACCTGGCTTCGACCTCTACATACGCCGAGCGCTCATGGCGTGATTTGTCAAAGGGCCGATGGGAGGCCAAAAATCATGGTAAGCCTCTTTCTCATATATTTGATAGTTCGAACAAAGTGTTTTCCATATACTTAATCAATTTTCTTGTGTGTAGGCCTGGGCAAAGATGCGGTTTTGAGGCCTTCGTCCGGCGAGGAAGAGGCTTCGGCCTTTGTTCCAAAACTGGTGAAGGATAATAAGAGAAAAATGGCCTCTACTTCCGAAGATCCAAAACCGAAGACGAGGACGACTCGTAAGCTGAGGAAGAATACCATCCCTTTGACCGAAGAATCAGTTCGGCATCTAAGGGATGAAGACAAGGAAGAAGAAGATGACGGGTCCGTACTGGTGGCCCGAGTGAAGAAAACCATTGATGCCTCAAAGGCAGCTGGATCGATGGTGGTTTGTGTGTCTCTGCCTCGAACTGAGGTGGTATCAGAGAAGGATTCAGGCAAAGTCTCCGAGTTAATGGAGGTCGAGAATGCCTCCCACCGAAGTCGACGACTCCGATCCTGAAGCTCTCCGAACCAAGGAGAATGCCCCAAAAGACTCGCTTGGGGCAATAGTAATCGAAGACTCGCCTACTCTCCCCTCCTTTTCTGAAGGGGTGATTCGAGAGGCCCAAGCTTTGGGGCCCTCGAGGTAGACGGTCCTCATGAGGGAGAGGACCCTTTTCGTGATCTGTTTACCGGTATCGAGGATGCTGCCGACCTTAGTGATGCATTGGGTCTTTTCCACGAAGTATAACAGGCTCTGAATCGGGTAAGCCTTAACTTACTTCGTTGGTGCCACCTTCATGTTTGTTTTTCTTTTCTAACTTCTTTTATTCTTTCTTCGCAGGCCGCAACGGTTCATCGGGAAGCGTGTTCTCAATCTCGAGGTGAGCTGCTCCGGTACGAAGCAGACCTCCGACGGGTCACGGAAGAGAGGAACGCCCTTAGACTGCTCTTCGGGCAAAAGGAAGAAGAAATCAAGGACCTCCGAGCTGAGTTGGCCAAGGCTTATCAAGACCAGACCGACCTGACCGAGCAGGTAATGATAATCTTAAAAACCCACGGGCTCGCTTCCGGAACGGTGGCTAATATTTCGATCTCACGGCTGTAGCAGAAGCTTGAGGTGATTGGGAAGCTTTGTGAGGTGGTCAATATGATAAGGGTGGAGACCTTGGGATGGAAAGATGGTATGGACCGTCTCGCCGTAGAAAAAGAAACTACTTGAGCCCAATTATCATCGGCCGAAAACCAACTTCAAGACATGAAGGAGAAGAGCTCGGTCCAAGCTCAAAAATAGAGGAGCTCGAGGCTCGGTTGACCTCCGAACTTGCCAAAGCCAAATCTGATGCTGAAAAAGCAAATGCCAATGCAGATGCATTCGTGTCCGTCTATCGGGCCGACACTGAATCCGCTCAGGTACAAGCAAGAGGGGCAGACGAGACCGCTAAACTCGAGCACATTGGGCTGCTGAACTTGCCAAATGCCAATCTCGGAGGGAGACCCTCGAGGAGATCCATGCTCGAGATTTCAATCTCACCGAAGAGATAAAAAGGGCTAAAGAGCTCAAAGTCGATGCTGAAGCCTTGGCTTCCGATGATGATGATGATGATGATGATGGGAGCAAGAGTGGGTCTGAGAGCGGGGAGGAGCCCGATGGAGAAGAGACCGCCTCCGGAGATAACCAGGAGACATAAGAGTTTTTTCTATTTTGTTTGTAGGGTCCTGTTCGGACGTTGTAAACACTCTTGAATAAATATAAAGATCTTTTCCTTTCCCGACTTGTTTCTGTTTTATTTTCTGCCTTGTGAAGATCTTGTTTCATTCATGCCTTATGAAAGATTTCATAAGTTCGAGGCTTTAGGTAATTTGATCGAATTCGGACATTTATAGCCTTTATAACCGAGTGGGTGTTTGCTTAAACTTGAAGAAGTGTAGCTCGTAGGCTTTATGGTCGAGTTAGTGCTTCGTTCTAACTCGTAGTAATAGTTAGTCCGTAGGCTTTTATTGGTCGAGTGAATGCTTTGCTCGAACTCGAAATATGGTAGCCCATAGGCTTAATAGTCGAGTGAGTGTTTTTCTCGAACTCAGAATAATTATTAGACCTTAGGCTTAGTAGTCGAGTGAGTGATTGCTCGAACTCGAGATAATTGTTAGCCCTTAGGCTTAGTAGTCGAGTGAGTAATTGCTCGAACTCGAAGTAAGAGTAGCCCTTAGGCTTAATAGTCGAGTGAGTGATTTCTCGAACTCGAAGTATGAGTAGCCCTTAGACTTCTATTGGTCGAGTGAGTGCTTTGCTCGAACTCGAAGTAAGGTAGCTCGTAGTCTTAGTACTCGAGTGAGTGATTGCTCGAACTCGAAATAATAGTTAGCCCGTAGGCTTAGTAGTCGAGTGAGTGATTGCTCGAACTCGAAGTAAGAGTAGCCCTTAGGCTTAATAGTCGAGTGAGTGATTACTCGAGCTCGAAGTATGAGTAGCCCTTAGGCTTCTATTAGTCGAGTGAGTGCTTTGCTCGAACTCGAAGTAAGGTAGCCCGTAGGCTTAGTAATCGAGTGAGTGATTGCTCGAACTCGAAATA